AGGGTCATCAGGGAGCACCTGAGGTCCATTCAATTCCTCTGTGGCTCAGTTCTCATCTGTGAAATGGGACGGTGACGCTGCTCTCTGTCTACTGCCCACAGGGGAGGTAAGCATGGGGGTTTGGGCTCCCAGCGATGAACGTACTGATGGTAAGGCTACCGTCTTTTTACAAAGAGAAAGCAGTTACATCCAATCAGCTGGGGGAAGAGATCTACTGCCAAATTTAGTAACTGACAGATGGCTGCAAGTAAAGGGGTTGGTAGACCCAGTAGGGACCTCAAGAGGTTGCTGCAAGGACAATGCTGGGGAGGAAGAAGGCCAACGTGAGAATGCTGAGGAGTCAGCTATTGTGACTGGAGCCTCAGCCATGCCTCTTACAAGCTTCTTGGCTTTGGGCAAGTCACTGCTTCCCTGAAACTCAGTCTCCTCATCTGAAAAAAAAGAGGAAGGCAATCGTGCCTAACAAAGCACTGTAAGAATACGAACTGGGAAAAATAAAGCCCATATTTATTTGCCTAGTACTTGATAGTTTACAAAGCAGATTACCTGCTTCATCTTCTCAGATTCCCATGGGGAAGGGGGTAACATCTGCTGAGTGCCTGCTGTGTGCCAGGCACAGGACTGGGTGTGCTGTTTACATTCATCTCATGCCAGCTTCATAACAGCCTGCCTGGGTATGTCATTTTACATTTGAGGAAACCAAAGTCGCACTGCTGGAAAGTGGCACAGCCAGTGCTTGACCTCAGGATTATCTTATTTCAGATCCTCAGAGGCTTCCACTGCAGTGTGCCACCTCCCTCGAGTTGTAGAACCTCCACAGGATTTTCACATCTCTTTGACCTCATGACCACTTTGAGATTAAAATGAGATAAATTACTTAACTTCTCTAAACTTCAGCTTGCTCAACAATATACATATATATTACTGACTAGAGCTGACTAATTAAATACAGTATGGATGAAATATTTAATAATAAGTGCAATTATAAAGAGAAACATTTGAGAATAAAAATCATGTCTTATTTGCCTCTGGTTGTCTGATGCCAAGCGTACTTACTCCTGGCAGGTATTTCAAAGTTGTTTAAGTGAATGATTGAATAAATGAGCGAAGAGATAGTTTTCAGTCATTACCTCCCATTTCACAGCTTTTCTGCCAACATACACATTGATCTGGCGCGAGATTTCTTGCTGTTGTAAACCACTGGGACAAGTAACGCTAGGGAGTGTAGATGATTCTGTATGGCCCTTCCTCACCACAGCACGAATAAGATAACTTCATTCAGCCTTCCCTGTTCATTTATCCATCCATCCATCTATCCATTTAATTAATTAATTAATTCACATATACATACATCTGGTCAGTAAACATTTATTGAAATAAAACCTAATGGAGATCAGATACAACATTTTTAAAGAAATGCAGTCAATCTCCATTCAAGATAATGACTCTGCATGTGTCCGCACTGTTCCAGAGATCATCACAGTGTCCCAGGTGGATGTGGGGATAGGCATAGGACACCTATGAGATCCTGCAACTCACCTTGGCACACAAATGAAGAGGGTGTTTCCCCTGGGTGGACTCGTCCTGTGATGAATACCACCTTCTGTTCCGCTCCTTCCCGGAGATTGTCTGTAAGATAAAATGAAAGATGGTTGCTAAGGAAGGCAAGGAAAGCTGAGTCTAGTGGCTGGTGTGTGGCAGGGAACCCCAGAGGGAATGGGCTGGATGCTTTACATTTATTTTTTAACCACTGAGTTAGAATCATTAAGGCCCAGCCACTGCTAATTTAATTATGTTCCTACCCAACATTAAAAGACTACATTCCCTTTCTTTGGTACAGCTGATCATATTATATTAATATGTAGTATCTACAATCATCCAAGAAAGTCATGAGTGAAGTTGAATCTCAAATCCATTACTGTGACTTAGGCAACTTGAGTATCCTTTTTAAGCTTCCATTTTCTAATCTATAAACAAGGATTTTAATAGGGTTGTGATGATTAAACAGGCTTACACATTGCATAGTACACAGTAAACATTCGGTAAATGATGGAGTAGGTAAGGTAGCTATTTGTACATTAGTAATAGTAGCAGCTGCCATTTAATTAGCTCCTTTTTTGTCAGGCACACATATATACACACACACACACATATATATACATATATGTGTGTATATATACACACACATATACATATATATATATAATCCTTACAGCAACGTGCTGTTAATGTGTTTTTTTAACAGAGGCAGAAACCAAGGTTCATGGAGGTTATATAACTTGTTCAAGGTCCCACAGCTAATAAGTGGTGGTAGGAGCTGAGATTAGAGCCCAAGCCCTTGTCTGGCCTTTATTTCCCTCTTATCTTAACTAAAAAATTGGACAAAATATTCAAAACAACTATTTTCAGACATTGAACAAGAGCTAATGTAAGCTAATCAATGGGAGAAGGAAAGTAAAGGAGATATGCCCTATAATTGCCCTGGCTTTCTGCCTGATGATACCTTCCAGACCACAGAGCCGAGAGGGTACCCTGAGCAAAGCAGGGAAGCCTCACGGAGATTCTGGTTCAGCAGGTAGTAGTTGGGAAACTCTGTGAGCTCCAGAAAGAAGGAAGCTCTGCAGAAAAAGAGTTCCAGAAATCTGTACAGGAGTCTTCTTGAGTCTTCGTTGGATTCTAAGATGTATATGCATGGGGTGACTTTCCATGATGTCAGGAAAAAATGACCAGGGAGCTGTGAACTGCACAATTAGGGGTCACACAGGGCTAAGAATCATTTGAATTCCCACAACTAAAGAGGAAGTCCTCACTGATAATTCAAGGAGAATGAGAACTCAGATGGGCAGTGTCTTAGTGATAGGGATAAACTACTCTAGACCACCCACATTCACAAAGCTTAAAAACAAGTCTCAAAAGGATCATACTGAACAAAAGAAACTTAAACGCTTTCTGTACAAAGCCCAAATCTCTTTAAAGCAAGGCAACAAAATCCAGACAATCAAAGCAAGGTACAATTTGCAATATCCAGCATCCAATAAAAAATTATTAGACATGCAGAAAAGTAAGAAAATGTGGCTCCAAATCAGAACCCAAACTCTTTCTCTCTCTACAGAAGTCTAATTTGTATAATAAAGTTGAACTATTATGCAAAGATATTATCAGACAAAAGCAACACCCAAGGGTGGCATTCCCAGAAAGAAATATCTGGAGAAGGATACTCAGCAGTGGGCAGAAGAAGAAAGGCTGGTTGATACAGAACAGAACAATTACCTGAAGAAAATTTAGGAAGGAACATTAAGAGAAGTTGAATTGAAGGATTTTATCAATGTTTGAGGATGATCTGGAGGGAGAGTATAGAAATACTTAACAGGCTTTCTCCTTCTGAAATGCTGGAGATAATGCTATTTTGAACATGGTTCATTATCCCAACAGTTGATGCACCAATGTCAGAGATGAAACAAAAAATATTAACCCTATTAAACCTGGTTCTAAAGGCTTGGGACTTGCTTGGTCCATTGGGTGATCAATAGGGGTGCAGTCACTGCTTCCCCTGAAAGGTAGCAAGAAATATCATGGAACTAAAATATATTCTTGTGAACTCACTCTACTCAGCTCTATGCTAGGCACCTTTGGGAACAAAGAGAGAGAGAGGCTCACCTGCCCTGAAGAAGTGTATTATTTAAAGAGGAATTAGATACCTGAACATTTCCTGGACTGAATATAAGCTCCTCAAGGAAGAAACTGCAACTTCCATGGATGTATCGCTAATGACTTTCCCAGGACCCTGCATGGAGTAGGTGCTCAAGGACTGACTATTGAATTAACAAATAAAAGTACTGTGTAGATGACAGTTTGTAAAGAAATGTAGACTCATATTATGTTATTTAATCTTCATCATGCCTCTGTGAGGTGGACAGTATTAACTACATTTTATAGGTGAGGAAATGAGGCTCACAGAAGGAAGGGACATGCCCAAGGTCATTCAGCTAGCAGTGGTAGAATTAAGTCCCAGCACCCAGACAGTGCCCCTTTCACTACCCTATCTGTTTCATTCTGGATCCACGAATAACAATATAAGATCCCACTCCTGCTGCATTTCCATCTACAATTTACACAGGAGAGTTTGGTTTTATCTTATTGTGATGGAAATTGAGCCACTATCTTAGTATTTATATTGCTTTTTCACTTAAAAAAATCACCAAGCCCTTTTAAAAAACACTGTCTAACACTGACCCCATCTATTGCAGTAGTCCTGACATGATAAATGGCATTAGGGAGGCCCTTGGTGAAGGCTAACTTTATGGATGTCTCCCCTGACCCCATATCAAGTCAATTGCATTCAGCATTTCTGCTGACCACAGGGAAATGCAAAATGGGCATTCTATTTGCACACTAATTTTACTGAGCCCCTGCGTCTTCATAAAATGATAACGTGAGGCTAATAAAAATCAAGCATCTCGGGTGCTAATATAAGCAAATGTTGATGCAGGCAGGTAACAAATTGCTTTGTCATTTAGAAGGCCGTAAAAGAGCATTATAATCATCTTTAGGCAAAATGGATGGGTTGCCTTTGCTTAGCTTTTAGCTTTCATTTGCAAAATCAATTTAAGGTAATGTAGTAGCTCTGAGGTGGTGACTACCCCACCCCTTCCTGTCACCAAATCTCCAGACTCTGTGCAAAGCCAATTAAACATATTCTTGGTGGAAGCAGCAGAGATGAAGAAGAAAGTATGCTTGAACAAAGCCAAGGTAGAACAGAATGCAAACAATGAGAACAGGAACAATTCATAAGAGATGGAAAAACTAAGGAGGTCATGTAGGCTGACATGCTCGAGGGTACAAGGGCTCACTCAAAAAACACTGGGGTACCTACATCCAGCTCCCTAGTTAAACAGCAGGTGTTTGAAGTAACATGTGCTTTGTGTGGCATCCTTAACATGTATGTACACACACACATACACAGACACTTGTTTGTCATTATATCCCTCTATCATCCACTATTTCCTTATTCATCATATAGTTATTTAATATCTATTAGATGGTCAGGACTAGCTATTATTATTATTTTTATTTTATAGAAAACCAAGGCCAAGAGAGTTAAGTAACTTGCCCTAGTTCTTACAGCTAATATGGCAGAGCCAAAGTCCCAAACCAGATAGTCTGACTCCAGAAACTGTGTTCCTAACCTCTGTATTATAATGTCTTCTAGGAATAAGAACAATATCATCCCATTGCAATAGCAATTAATCTATGTAGTACTTATTCTTTGCCAGGCACTTTACATGCATGATCTTATTTAATGCTCACAGCAACTCAATGAAACATCTACTATTCTTAGACCAGACTCTTTTATAGATTAGGAAATTGAGATTCAGAAAGGTTAAATGACTTGCCTAAACTTGCATAAGTAGCAAATGTGGGAGCCAGAATTAAACCTAGGTCTTTATGATTCTCAAATCTGTGCTAACTACTGTGTCTCACTGGCTTTTGGAGATTAAAACCAACCTATAGGGTTTTAAAAAACATATTCACAAATTCTTTGTTCATCTCCTCCCTTCAATAGGTGGAGATGTACTCCTTTCTCCTTCAGTGTGGGCTGGACTTAGAGACTTCCTTCCAACCAATGAAATACTATAGAATTGATGGTGTGACACTTCTGAGATTAAGGTATAAAAAGACTGTGGTTTCCACTGTAAGTGTGATATCTCTTTCTTGAATGGCTCACCCTTGGAATGAAGCCAACTGCCATGTCATAAAGGCACTCAGATAACCTATGGAGAAGCCCACATGGTAAGGTACTAAATTACCCAGACAGCAGCCGTGAGGAACTGAGGTCTGCCAAAGCCATGTGAATGCATTTGGAAGAAGATCCCATAGCGTCAGATGACTATAGCCCTGGCTGACAGCCTACTGCAACTTCATGAGACCTATGCCAGAACCACCCAGCTAATCTGTTCCCTCATTCCTGACCCACAGAAATGGAGACATAATAAATCTTTCCTGTTTCAAGATGCTAAATTCTAGAGTAACTTGTTAGGCAGCAATAGATAATAGACATCTCCCTGAAGATAATTATATTTCTCCTAGTTGCTATGTAGAACTCAAGTAACTTTGCATCTTATCTGTTGATGCTGACTTTCAATGAGGACCAAAGCCATAATCTTGGTGCCAAGATATGGAGAATCTCAATCTATTTAGCCAGTTATTACTGGATCTGTGACTGGTAGAGGTAGACGCCAAGAGGCCTCAAAGAACCCTAGCTGGGTCTCTGAGGACAAAAATCTCCCAGGAGTTCATATTGTTAGTTTTGTTCCCCATCCCTCCCAACAATGACTTGTCATGGGGATTGCGATGTTAATGTGAAGGAAGAAGGGAGTACTGCTGGGATGGGAATGTGGAATGTTGCAATGGGGGAAGAATTCTTTTCTTGTTGTTGTTTTTGACACCTGATCCTTTTTCATTTTCTTGATTTGACTCCTAAAGACATGATAAAGTCAAGAAAATGCCCTACTATGGGTTTCTAAACCAGACAAGTTTCAGTCTTTTCTCCAATACTCCAGGGCCCAAGCAGGCCCACAGTACTCTGAAGCTGGAGAAACAAGACATCCCAGTAGCAACAACAGCATGGT